GCCTCCAGTTTTCAGTTCTATTAAGCAGACTGTGAGGCTTTTATTAAATAATAGAATTTTTTTTAAAATTATGATCATTTTCATTAGAATTAGACTCTCCTAACTGACTACTTTTTCCCCCAACTTTCTTCAAGCAGGTTACAGCAATGAGAATTACGGCAGGAGATGTTAACACTTTGTCTTCCTCTCTCCTCACTATCATCAAGTATAATGCTTTTAGCTCACACATTTCTGGTTTTGGCCTTTTGTGTGCATGTTTCACAGCTGGTGAAAATATGTTCATGTTTATGAAACAGATAATCTTTGAGCATCTGCTGTACGGTAGGCACCACTAATGATGGTGAGGACTCAGCAAGGGGCTGACGTGGTCCCTGGTGTCTAGGGGTTCACCATCTAGGGAGCAGGGCAAATGAACAGAGTGGCATGTGCAAGGCATCATGGGAGTGGGGAGCGGGGCTCAAGCTGGTGAGAAACGAGGGTGGAGGAAAGTCTTCATGGGGAAGGTTGAGCAGAGCTTGAAAGATGGATAGTGCTGCACTCAGCAGACCAGAAGAGAAGGAAAATTACACACAGTAGTGGGATGTAACTAGGGCTCAGAAATGTTGAAAACATGCTGAGTTTAGGGAAGTACAAATGGTTTTAGAATGGTTGGAAAGCAGGCAGAGTCGATTTCCAACATACCAGCTAAATACTTGTCTGGAACACTGAACATGGGCAGGAAAGAAATGAGCCTGTAAAAAATAAGTTAAAGTCTGATCACGAAGAGCCTGGAACGCCAGGTCAAGGTTCTGGATTGTTTTTTTCCTATGGGAGGATGAATGCATTCACTGAAGAATTTTTAAATAAATAAGTGAAAAATCAGAGTTGTATTTCATTAAGATCTTTTCCACCAATCCTGGCCAGTTCATTCTACTCTACCTACTATATTATTAGTCTTCTGTGAGCAAATTATCCTGAAATGTCCTTGCTGGATACTGTCTTATTTAGTTTAATCCACTTCTCCTTGTTATTGTAATCCAAGCCCGGGAAATCACCCATGATTTGTCTTCAGCATCAAGCACTGTGGGTCTGGTGGTTATTCTGAAAGATCCTGGCTGTTGCAGTAGGAGAAGAGAAAAAGTAATAGAATTTATTCCAAGGGGTATTTCCACTCTTTGTGCTTCCAACTCAGCATTTTTGGAGCTCTTTATAACTGGCTTTGTAAGGATTTGGTTGAAAATCAACTTCAAGATTCCTCCCTAATTGGCCCAGCCAGGTTTAATCTGTTATTGGTCAGGCTAAGCTGGCTTCTATTATGCAGCACACAGAGGATTTCCGGCATTACCCTTATCCCAGCGGAGGCTTGCTGTTTTTGGAAACAAATCTTGGTGTTGGTGAAGGCTGGTATCATCATGTACTCTGAAGTGAACCCAGAAGGACCCCCATCAGATGCAGCATTTTAGACCTTTAACTAAAAAGAGCAAGTCTTGCATTTGGAATTTGCATGCTAGAGGATTATGGTTTTATATACTTTTTATCTCCAAGATAAAACAAAGCTTCATATTTGTTTCTGCTGCTTTAGATTGAATCCTGGCAACATTCAGGGTCTCCAGTCTGATCAGGCAACACTTGCAGCAATGGGACCCCTGCAGAGAAGGGCTTTCCTCACTCAGGGTACCCTGGGGTAACATCTAGGTGGGGGGAATCTTGGCCTTTGCTGAGTCCATGCTTAGACTTGCTGGCCATGCTGAGCACATACATAGACTTAATGGGAGGTGGGACATTTTGTGATGGTATAATTAAAAGGAGCTACTATTAAGAGAGCATCAAGGCTTGGTGCCTGTAGCTCAGTGGTTAGGGTGCTGGCCACATACACCTTGACAGGCGGGTTCGAACCTGGCCCACGCCTGCTAAAATGACAATGACAACTACGACAAAAACGACAATGACAACTACGACAAAAAAATAGCTGGACTTTTTTGTGGGAGTTTGTAGTCCTAGCTACTTGGGAGGCTGAGGCAAGAGAATCCCTCAAGCCCAAGAGTTTGAGTTTGCTGTGAGCTGTGACACCATGGCACTCTACCAAGAGCACACAGTGAGACTCTGTCTTAAAAAAAGAAAAAAAAACAAAACAAAACAAAGAGCATCCAGCCAGCACTGGAAAATGTTTGTGTTGACAGAAGAGGAACAACGGCGCCTGTATCTGGAGAGTTTGCAAAAGCAAAAAAGCAAACTTTTTCCTGCCATGATGAAAGGATGTGGGATTTCTGAGCACTGCTCGTGTGAGTGTGGTGAGGGCATGCTTTACACATTCGCAATCATTCAGAAGTAAACTGTCCTTTTCCCTCCCTATCAGTCTCTTTGCCAAACCCTTGCTGAGGCCGTGGAGAGTTTACACAGTTCTGCTGGAGGAAGAAGTCACTTATGATAAGAATGTTTGCCCTGTTGAACTGAGCTCCTTAGGATAAAGGAGGCTGATTGATTTAGAACTCCATAAGTAAAGATACATCTGTATACGTACTTCAGTACAGACCTGCGTTTTACAGGTTTTAGAAAACTAGTCCAACATCTGTTTTGCTTTCTGTGTGAATCCATCCCCTTCTCCCTCCCTGCCCCCACCCTAAAGGGAATCCCTCATTTTGAAGATATGATAGTCCTCGCATCTCCACCACCTCTCAATCCCTATTGGCCAGCCAGCTCACAGGCTAGTCATTCCCAGGGCTCAACCTTCACAAACCTGTGCCTACTAGTGCCAGCGCCTTGCCACTGACTGGCCCTTGCCAGTCTCTTAGGGCCTGCTGAAAACTTACTGGGCATTGAGGATGATGGTGGGGGACAGGGTTGTATCCCCTAGAGCAGCGACTAGGGGCTGAGCACCCCGCCAAATCTAAAGCAATTAGGCTGGGTTAAATTCCGTGCTTGTTCTCTTTCTTGAAATTTCTCTTGCACTTGGGCTTATCTCTCCACAAATATATATATATATTTTTCAGTTGGTGTCCTGATTCTTCATTCTTTGTTTGAAAACCCTACAATCCTGAAGCTTGTCTAAGAAAATGAGCACCATAGCATCACAGCAGATCAGTCCTGGAGGGAATTTAAGCCAGTCACTTCAATTTGTCAGTGAGGATGGAGATGCCCATTGTGACAGCTTGGCTGTAGTCATAAAGCTAGTTAGAAACATATCCACACCTGAAAGCCAGGTCTTTTGGCTTTTATTCAGCATTTAAACCTCAAGTTTGTGTGTTTTTAGCATGTAAGTATATATGGTATACACTGCAGCCATCTGTACATGTTGGTATTCCAATTATAAAATTACTTATAATAAGTAACATTTAATGAATAGTTATTATGTGTCAGACAGTATTCTTAAGTACATTATATATGTAATATCATCTACTCTTATGGAAACCCTATTAGGTGGGTATTATTATTCTCAATTTACAGGTGAAGTACCTGAGGCTCAGAGAAGTTTAATAACTTGCCCTTGTGTACAAGGAAGTCTTATTAATAAGACTGAATTTCTGGGACTCATATTTTGACCAGCAAATGTGTAGTGAGGCCCTAGAGTGGCTGGAGCCCTGGCCTTTCCAGTGGGAAATAACGTGAGCAAAACAATCATAGTAGGACACGGTGATGCTGCCACAGAGGCCTGAACACAGGGTGGTGGGGTTCACAGGAGGGGGCATGCCAGTAGTCTTGTATAGAAGACTCCCAACTGGAGAGTGGGTGCTCATGCACAGACTAACAGGAGGGCCCAGTGTGGCTAGGAAAAATCAAGAGACCAGGAATTTAGAGGGTGGGAAGGCAGGAACGTGGTAATTGTGCAGGAGATGCTAGGGGTTGAGGACTCCTGGGAGTGGGTTGTAAAGTTCCCAGATGCCACATTAGGGAATTTGGATCTATTCCGTGAACAGAGGGGCGTCGACAGGAATTTTTACAAGCAAGTCGGTGACAAGATCTTATTACAGGGGCTGTGTGCTGATTAGACTCTAGCAGCCTGGGACTGGTGATAGGACACTAGTTAGGGAGGCCTTTGCAATGGTCCAGGTAGGGCCCGAACTCCTGCCAGCTGCCCAGTGAGCATAGGCTGCCCCCATCCCTTTGCTCACCCTGCTCCCTGGGCTTGGATTATCTCTTTGATTCAATCTTCCAAAAACTGTAGCCTGGTCTTTAAAGACTGTGCTCACTCAAGTGTTCCCCTGGGGACTTCCTGCAGTCCCTACCCTGAGCAAACTGAGCTCTCCCCATCTTTGGGTCCCCGCTACACTGGCACATTGTTTGTTCTCTCCTGGCACATCTTCCTGTGCATTTATCCCTGCCCCCTCTAAACCTGCCTCCATGAAGGCAGGACCAGACTTTTGTCTCCTCAAATACTTGGCCCAGGGCCTGACACTTAGTGAACGCTCAATAAATATGTGATGGATGAATAAGCTTTCTAAACAAAGGCAGTGACTCTAGACACACAAAGGAGAGTACACGTTTGGGAGGCGGTTTTTAAAAGTTACATCAAGGTTGGCAAACTATGGCCCGCGGGCCAAATCCAACCTGCCTTATTTACTGCTTTTGTAAATAAAGTTTTTATTGGAACACGGACACGCCCATTTGTTTATGTGCTGCCTTCACTCTGCAATGGCAGAGGTGAGTGGTTGTGACAAGACCATATGGGCTATAAATCCAAAAATATTTACTATCCTGGCCCTTTACTGAGAAAGTCTGTCAAACCTGGGGTTAAATGAAGAGGATTAGTGAATGGCAGTGAAGAGCGACGGAAAAAGTTAGGACATCTCTCCACCATGCTCAATGCAGAGCGTTGCTTACAGTGGCAGCCTCAGCCAACAGGCCTGCAGGTACTGAGAACGAAATACTTATATATGTGGTGCCCGAGAGGAAGGGGAGAAATAAGAAATACTAAGAAGGAAAAGAGATGGGGTAAGAAAAGACAAGGGGCTGCCCTGGCAAGGCAGGACTGTTCTAAATCTGGTTGGCCCTGCTGAAGTCCCCAATGCCATTCTCTCTCCCAGTCATCCAGTTTGGTTTCGTCACCCTCTTTGTGGCCTCCTTCCCTCTGGCACCTGTGTTTGCCCTTCTCAACAATGTCATTGAAGTGCGGCTTGATGCAAAGAAGTTTGTGACAGAGCTGCGACGGCCTGATGCTGTGAGGACCAAAGACATCGGTATGTCCCCAACTCAAAAGCCAGAGCAGGCTCACCTCCCTCCTGCCCTCTATCCCTCTGGCCACTGTCACACACACACGATGTTAAGAATCAAGAGGACTGGGAGAACCCTTGCCTCCTCACCTGCTGTGTTCCTCGCCCTCATTTCCTTGGGTGCAGGGAGGCCTTTGGAGGCCGCATTGCCCACTTAGGCTCTGAGCTTCCAGACAGGGGGCCACCTACGCCTTTCCAGACAAGCCCGTGTCTGGACAGCCTCACCCGCCTCCCTGATAACTTGCCTGTACAACGTCACCTTGAGCTGCAGCATTGTCATCACTGGCCATGAGTGGGAGTGAGCCAGATGCTCTCTTTTCTGTCTTACAGGAATCTGGTTTGACATTCTCTCTGGAATCGGCAAGTTCTCTGTTATCAGCAATGTAAGTGCTCACATTCCCGACACCTGGCTCTGTAGGCAGTGCGTGCAGAGGAGCTCAGGGCTTCAAAGCAGGACCCCCAACACTGTTACCCCCAGCCTTTTCCATTTGGAGCTTTGCTTGAGACAGACCCCTGGTTAATAGTGCACACGTGCCTTGTAACTCATCATGTTGTTGCCAGAGCTGTGGAGTTTTACTTCTGATTTCACTGAGAGAAAGAAGGGCAATTATCCACCAGAATGCATACCTCAGCCTTAAGAGTCAAAATCAGATCTTTCCTCAGAGCCAAGAATAATGAGGAAAGAATTCTACATATCTATTCATCTCTTTCCTTTCTTATTCTACTCCTGAGTTAAACAATACTTGGAGCACTGCCCAGGCCACAATTCCTAATTATGGTCCCTCCGAGTTGTCAATGCAAAGTCTTAATTATCCCAGTGGATTCTGGCACTGTGTAGGTTAAGATAGGACATGGAAGAAGAGGGGTCCTACCTATTGTGACCTCCTTAACTGCCTTGCCAGACGTGTCCATGTTACAGAGGAAATCCTGCCAGGCCCAAGGCAGCGGCTCCTTTTCTGTCGTGTTCAGTATGGATGGTGGCCAGGCAGGGCCTCCTGCTCCACCTCCCAGGAGAGGATCATTCAATTTGGTGAACAGCAGAAAGCCACGGCCCATTTCCACTTGGGAGAGAAACAACACTGATTTGGCGTTAACCTAATTTCCTACCAAGAACACGTAAAATGTCTGGAGAGGTGTGAGGAGAGGCAGAGAAAATCTGTCCACTGCATTTCTAATGTTTTGATTTAGGAAGAACACATCTTGACACTTAGAAATAAAGTACAGTTTGGAAAATGAATTGGTTGCTACTCTGGATTTGTGTCTACTAGAAGAGAGGGCCTGAGTATTAACCACGTTCCCATCTAAAGAACAGAGTGATGCAAAGGTTTACTTCCCCAGCCTCTCAAAGGTCTGTTTATTTATCTGTGAAATAGGAGCTAATTATAGTGTCCACCAAATAGGAACATTCTGGAAATTAAGTAGGTTAATGAAAGGACATACAACAAGTACTCAGTTGTAGCTGTGGTTATTGTAAGTGAGTTATTCGTTCTCAAGCATGGTTATGGCCATCCACACTCACATATTCATTTAGAACACGATTTCTAAGCTACATTTTTGTAAAGGGCTTTAATTGTTGGTGCAGAATACAGCATAAACACCTGCCAAAAAGATTTAAGATTTTCTTTGCAGAAAGTTCCTCCGTGTTCAAACATGCAATCATTCATCTGTCATTTAGTTTGCTCTGTAGGTATTTATGGAGCACTTAGATATTCCAGACCCTGTGTGGGGGGTGTGGCTCCATCTAGCAGGACCTATTCCTTTTCCCTCTGTGCCTCACTTTTCTTAAGTAAAATGGATTCAAGGGATAAAGGAACAACTATTCTATGATGTGCTAAAAAGTGTTGAGAGCTAATGGTCAAATTGAGGAAACTGTGGGGTCATATTCTTGGTAATCCTGGCTTTCTGGTGTCACTCGGGGGCAAATATCCACATCCATTCAATTTCCTTCTCCATTGGCCTTAAGAGGTACACTCAACAGTACAGGTTATTTTCTCAGAAAGTGGTGCACTCTGCTTTGGCCTGGCCAACACCAATGCCAATTCATATGTCCTAAAGGTAGAACCATCCCTCCAACACCAGACATTTCAAACTGGCTTAGTGTCCTTCATTGCAGTGACTGCTATTAGCTCTCTCAATAGTCACTGTCTGGTGGGTTGACTCATATATACAAGAGGAGGAACTACCAGAAAACCCAGCTGCATGGGCTCAGGGACAGGACCCCAGTGTGCTGCCTCTGCCCCTGTGTCAATCAGAGCAGCTCCTTCAGATGGAGAGCCTAAGAGTGGACAGTCCCTCAGCCAAGTGGACCCTGTGCCTTTGGAAAGCATGTGACCTGGCTGCTCCTTAGTGCTTGTGGTTCTGTTCCTTAGGCTTTTGTCATCGCCATCACCTCTGACTTCATCCCCCGCCTCGTGTACCAGTACTCCTACAGTCACAATGGGACTCTGCATGGCTTTGTCAACCACACTCTCTCCTTTTTCAACGTCAGCCAGCTGAAAGAAGGAACACAGCCTGAAAACTCACACTTTGACCAGGAGGTTCAATTCTGCAGGTAAATTAATCTTCAGGAGGAAGTAAGCGGACCAGAAGTAACAGATCCAAATGATTATCTAGAACCACTTACGTGATAGTGTTCCCATGTAAGATTATGCTGTATTTTTACTGTACCTTTTCTACGTTTAGAGGCACAAATACTCACCATTGTGTTACAATTGCCTGAAGTCGCATTCTGTGTGAGTTCGCAGCCAAGAACAATAGGCTGCAGCATGAAGCCTGGCTGTGTAGCAGGCTGCACCCTCTCAGTTTGTATAAGTGCATTCTGTGATGTCCATGCAATATAAAACTGTTGTCAAGTGACACATGACTGTGCACCATTCTCCTTTTCTTCTGTGTCCTGCTTCACCTGTCATTATAATCAATTTCAAAGAATCAAAAAATATCTGTTGTGTGCCTTTTGTTAGACACTGTGGAGCAGACATAGAACTATATATCCTTGTCCTCACCAACAAGGGGTTTATAAAACTGACTGGGAAGAAAACAAGGAGGAAGAGCAGATTATTTAGTGATCATATGAGCTTCATGGGTTTTTAGAGGAGAAGGGGACTGTTGAGGTCTAGAATGGAAAGGCTGGGACCCCTTAAGGACAAGAGGGAGAGCATTCTAGATGGAGGCTCAGCATGGGCAAGTCACAGGGTGAGATAAATACAGAATGTTAGATATACTTGGGGCTTGGCAATGTGGTTAGCAAGGAGAATGCTTGCAAGATATTAATGGGGATTAATATAGGAAATACATGAAACTCACAGGGTAGAATAAGCTGAAATGTTGTTGAATTTGAATAGACTGGATGAAGGAAATAGCAGGGAGTCCTGAAATCTAACAGGAATTTTAATGTGATGCAAAGGAAGATATAGGGTAGGTTTAGGAAAATTGATCTGGTCTCAGAGAGGAAGGTGGATGGCCTAGGGTTGGGAGAACTCAGGGAGGACAGCGGGGCTGCTGCATCATTTAGACATGAACCACACTGGGCATACATCAGGGTGGAGGAAGAACTAAAAGGAGGGAGAAGATGAGCCATTTCATGTTGTATGTTACAAAGCTGGTGACAATAGACATGGGAGAGGCTGAGTTAAGAATATCTCCAAAGTTTGGGCTGCAAGTCAGAGGACTGAGAAATTGTGGTTCCGTTGACATGGATAGGGAAAATGCTAAGGTTAAGAAAATCTCATTTTATGGTAAATATGATAAATTTAATTTCAATCATGTTATATTTGAAATGACATTAGGAAGTCCAAGAAACAATTTTCACCTAAATCTCAGACACATTAAACTGGAATTCTGGAGTTGCCCAACTTAATGTTACCACAGGGATCATCAAAGCCAAGAAACAGAACACTCTCCACTATTTACCCAGGAAGGCAAATAAAGAGAAGCAGAACAGAGGGAAATCATTTGTGTCACCTCTTTGTACATGGGTGAAATGAGAATCCCAATAAAGTGCTTGATCAAAGATGAATATACTTCGTATAGTAAAAAAGCAGAATATTTACAATAACAAAAAATACTGGTTTTGTTGGACCAATGTAGGGCTTTCTCTGACCGCCCCCAATAACATCTGCTGTAAAAGTTGCTGATGTCTGTCTGATATTTCAGTGATGTTTGCAGCAGTGATGGCCCTGGGAGTGTCTGCCCTGCTTTTCCTAACATGGAGCACCTTGGTATCCAAGATAGCTGATTAGGGTCAGGTTCGGTCTGAGACCATTGATGAAAGAAAACTAATTGGTATTCCCAGCTCAGATGGTGAAGTGAAACAACCTCACATGTCAATGGTTTAGGTAGAAGGGTATTATGGTCCCAAGAGCAATAACTTCAGGGTTCAACTCTAGCCAACCAAGAAAAGATGAAAAATCAGGGAGCAGACCCAAGAATGGATTAATAAATTTATTCATAGATATCAATTTATCTCAGTCCATATTTTTCAGGTTTTTTTCTAACATCTGGGGCTATCGAGAGTCTGACCCCGGTACTAGAATCATATGACAGATGGTTTGCTGCTAGACCACATCCTGCCCAGCAGCTCTGTTTATAGCTAGTGCTAGACTATCTGTCTGTGATGCTGGAGTTGCATAGTACAGAGTCCAGACCAGCTTAAGGCCTTTCCCAAGGCATCTAGGTCTGCTATTGCAGGATTCAGGAAGTCAGTCAACACAGTTGCACTAAACAAAGAGGCACTGAAAAATGAGAATTACAAAATTATTTTTATACCTGGAAGGGATTATAGAAATCATCTTATTACAGCTTCTCATTTTACATAAAAACAAGCAGGCTTAAAAAGCTGAAGAGTTCTCTAAGACTAAAGAGGTTTCTAATGCAGACTCTGAACTAAAGCTCACGTCCATACAAGAGTTCAGGTCTCTACCTCTAGGTGACTTGCTGTGTGGGGAGGCAAGGCTGACATTATTTGTGTCTTTAGTCAATCTAGAAGTGCTTGTCTATTACACAAGTAGAGCACCAAGAGTCTGATTTCACATCTTTCCCCCGACCATCGGTTCTTCTACTAACACTTACGAATATGCTTTCCAGATATATCAGTGGCTCAACTGGGTTAAAAAAAAGCGTCTTCAATCGCCCCCAGATTGTAAGCTGAAAATAGGTCTAATTTAGGCAAGTTTTCTTTCAATCCAATCTGCCCAAATCCAATCTTTCTTCATCTCCCAACTCTACTTCAATCAATGTGGATTGTATGTATTTATAAGTGCCGTATGACTGCCAGGAGGTTGAATGAGAAATCAGGGGGCATGAGTACTTCTCAGCATTCCAGGATGCTAGGTGTTATGAGTATATGAGGTCTGACATTTAAGTTCATGAACTTGCCACTGTGTGGTTACATTGGCAGCACTGTACAAACAACTCAGTAAGATTGCATAACCTTGGTATATCAGTGTCTCACAGGTGCATTGGTGTTGACATGTGGTGGTGTCTTGCTGAGTGGAGTTCATTATTGCATGTTTTTGTGGGCCATAGTGAGAGTGTCGGAGCTTGAATTAGAGAAATGAATAAATATTCATAAATTTCTTGTTAAAATTGGCATGAGTGGAAGTGAAGTCAGGAACATGTTACTCCAAGTTTATGGGAAGTATGCCATGAAGAAAATAGGAGTATACAAATGGATTAAATGTTTTTCTGAGGATAGAGGAAGTGTCAGTAATGAGGAGAAGTTAGGGCGCCAGTAATGAGCAGGACTGAGAAGAACACTTTAAAAATTCATTGAAGTGTGTATCAGAATCATCAGCTTACTGTGGGAAACATAGAAGAACAAGTAAACATCGATAGGGAAACAGGAACATTTTAACTGAAAATCTTGGCCAAGAACTCATGGCTCTTACATCATGACACTTTCTGTGAGGACGTTGTTAGCTAGTGAACTAATAACTGTATTGGAATATCCTCCATACTCACCTGATCTGGCTCCTAGTGACTTTTTTCTTTACCCAAAGTGAGAGGAAATATTGAAAAGAAGACATTTTATTGGCTTTCAAGACATGAAGGACAATAGAAGGACAATTTGATGGTCATTCTAGAAAAAGGATTCCAAAATTGCTTTGGAGGGTAGACTAGGCACTGGTGTTTTTACATAACTTCCCAAGGGGCGTATTTTGCAGGTGACCAAAGTAATATTCAAAAATGAGTCATGTGACACTTTTTCCAGGATGAGTTCACAAACTTAATTGTTGTGCATAGATCTAATTGAGCCTTCTTGTATTTGTGCAGCTCTGGTAAACTCTCACAGTTTCTATGTAAGTAGACAGGATTATGGCTTGTCTGTGGCCCATTTTAGATAAGATTCTGTGTAGCAAAATTATCCGTGAGTACAGGTATAAGAAGTATACTTCAGTTCTGCCAAGAAAATTTGTCTGTAGAAAATAAGCCATTGCAAGATGAAGCTGAAATCAAGATCAAGATTTTTGGAGTACCCGTTATTTTCCTTACTCTCTCTCAGTACCTGTGAGGAGTAGAGATTCATTATGCAAATATTTTTGAGACCCTACTCTAGGCTTGGCATTGATTATTTAACAGTGAACAAGATACAGTGCCTTGCTCAAGAAGTCTAAATGGAGCAGATGAGTAAGGAAACCAGCAATCATAACATAGTTTTAAGACCTTATAATAGGGTAACTGCATGGAGCCATGAGGGCCCAAAGAAGGGAGGCTGTGCATTAACCAACCTAGATATAAGGGTTCAGGGAAAGTTGAAAGGGATATGAAGCCTGAAGAATGAGCAGTGCAAGAATGGCCCTAGGGATTATCTTGTTAAAACTCCTCATTCATATAGCCACATCAGCTTGGTGGGTAAGGAGGGGTGAGGAGGGTGTTGAGCAGTATGGCAGTAAAGTGGGGATGTCAGGTGGTGATGGAGGTCCGTGGAGAATGCTGCCACTAGGGAGAGTGTGAGGGGTAAGCTACAAGAGAAGAGGCTGGAAGAGAAATGAAAGCCAGGTCCAGGAGATCATGCCAGTCTACTGAAGTGTGTGGGGTCTCTCTTAGGGCAACAGGGTACCTACCACCAAGGGGCTTTTGGAGGGCGGTGATGACAGCAAGCTCTGACTACAGTGTAAAGACTATTGGGTTACACCGAGGGTTACGTTTAAAATAAAAACATGCTTTAAAGTGCAGGCAGATGTCTGGAGAGTCGGGTCTGCCTGCAATCTAGATAAAGTATATCATAGAAGTGTGTTGGGAGCCACATTTTCTAGGGCTGATAGGGGTTGTTGATGGAAATCTCCACCTTCTTGGGTCTTACTCCCTGCATGTTTTGTCAGCTCACCTGGGTTGATCTCTGGAGATTTAGAAAGGGAAGGCCTACCTCCTCTGGATGCTTTTCTAAGCCAGGAACTAAGACAGTTGAGATATAAGGTGGGGGGAGATGAGGAGGAGGAAGAAGAAGTGGGAAGGGACTGTGATAAGAGAAATATTTTAGCCCCAGAGCCAGTGTTAAAAACTGCTTCCATGGTGGGAAACAAAGTTTGCCCTGAGTTTCTGGCAAATAGTGTT